AATTTGTTCAAATATTTATTGAATAGCCTTGTGGGACATGTTTGGTTCCTTTACAAATGAACTAGAAGACACACTAATATTACACAATACTTCTCCTCCTCCTGTATCATCACGAGAACATGCTTGTAAACGCATGATACCAGTAATCTGGCTCTCTCCTCACTGAACATGGCCTGCAAATGCCCAATGCACCTCAGAAAAAATTGTACAGTTTAAAAGATGCCTTAGCAAAAAGTTGATTTGACTCACATGGATTATTAAAATTTAGAAAAGAATTTGACTCCAATACTTGCAAACTAGGTGATTTGTATAAAAAAAATGGGACCTTTTAAGATATTGTTGGATCATTCCAATACATATCAAAGTGTATATCAAAGTGACCTTTAGGGATGATTAAAAAAAAACAAAAAAACAGGTAGTGCTGTAAGACAAACGCTGGACAGCAAAGTCCATTTGAACTGTAAGACTGGCAGTTCAAACTCACCAGTCACTCCTCAGAAATCCTGTTGTTGTGAAGTGCCATTGAGTCAAGTCTGACCCATAGCGACCCTGTATAGGGTTTCCGAGGAGCAGCTGGTGAGCGTGAACCGCCAACTTGTCGTTCCAATGGCTTTGCAGTTTGGCGCATTAACCCACAGCGCCACACCAGGACTCCAGAAGCCCTATAGAGGGTCACTATGAGTTGGAACTGACTCAACAGCACTTAACAACAACAACAGCAACATTATTTCTCAGAGGGCTAGTCCATGAGATAACAAAATTAAGCAGTTGAGGAAAAACATAAATTTCAATTTATTATCAGATATCAAAGCATCATTTAAGTAGGAGTGAATTTCTTTTGTACTTATATGTAACTCTATTTTGAGTTTTAAATCAATACAAATGATCCTCATTAAAAAGATTTTAGACACAAAAATGCAACGTTTATAAACTCAAGCTCATACTTTTTTAATTCTCCGAAATAAAATATTTAGTGCAGCATCTGTGATCTTGTAAACGATTTAGTTGACTTTCATGCATTTTCAGTTTCCTAAAAGTTTTTATTTTCTGGAATATTTCAACATGAAAAAAACACATCCAAAGAATATATTTACAGTTAAAGGTTGCCATTAATCTTCTTCTATAAAAATAGTTGTTTAAAATTTTATACCAATTTGCTTTTTTTCCTATAAATATTTAAACCAAGTTATTGTTATCAGAATGCCGATTAGAATCATTTAATCCATGTAGCCAAAATATTAAAATATCTAGCAAAAGTCTGCCGTATAATAAATTCCATGTTCATATTTAATAAGTGATATGTTTTGCCATTAACTATTTGTACCTTAAGTAGATGGACACAATCACAGAACAGCAAAGTGTACATCTCTTATAAAGCTCTGACTTCAAACAGCACTGTAGTTTGTAGAATTTTTTCCATTTCATGTCTGTTGTTATGAGGAAATATATAGAATTAACTTTTGCATGTTGACTCTGGATACTGAATTAGACATCATGCAGCCAGAATAAAATATTGATTGTTGGCTAAGGGAATAACAAATGTTAGCTCAAAACTTTGATACTCTAACTACACTTTCTTAGTGAGCACTATCCCAAGGAAAAGTAATGCCAGTGTAAGTATAAATGAAGTTTTAAACATGACACAGCCACTATAAAAATGGAACGTGCTATATATAGATTCAATGATCTTATAATTTGATATTACTTTCATTTTGATGATGAGTTTAAAATATGTGCTCAGAACTATAGAAATACCAAGAGTCAAAAATATTTATTTCAAGATTTATTTCTTCTTAAAGGAATGAATTGCTAAAATAGCTTTATAATATAAATGGTTTCCTTTTAAAAAGCCATTGTTCCTGCAAAAGAGCAAGAACAAGATAAAATCACTTGCTTTCCTACCCCCTTTAACCAGCCAATATATATTTAAGTGCCTCTTATGTGGAAGGCACTAAATTTAGTAATAAGTGATTAATGTGATATTAGTAGCTTAAACAAATGACTAGACTTCACATTAAGTCTTTCAAAAAGGTACATACCTTACAAGGCAATCAATCACATTTTATCATTTAGTTATTGACTGAGATTTCAATTATTTTCTTTAGACATTCTAAAATGTAAATGTCTAAGCTCTATTTGCGTTGGAAAATCAAATAAAAAGTTTTGATTATATTTAGCCAGCTTTCCTTCTTGATCATAACATGAACAATGAAAGTGAGTTAAACATTATCCTTCAAACTTAAAAACGGAACAGATTAGATGTTTTGCTTTGGGTTCAATTAAATTCAAGTATTCAGCACTATTGAATCAATTCTCTTTTTCCTTGGGTTAGAACAATTATTAAAGCCAAGTACTTGAGAAAAATAAATAAAGGCAATAGGAGTTAAATATATGACTACTGAGCTGCAAGAAACAAATCAAAAGCAAATACACAAAAAAACACACAAATATACACAAAACAACAGAAACAAAGAGTCACCAGTCATTTGTACTCATGGAAGAAGATAATAATGTTGCTAATCAGAATATGTGATTATATTATCTTTTTTTCTCCTGCCCTCTAGGAAAGACAGAAATTCAAATTGCTAAAAATGCTGGCTAAGCAAGCATGGGTGTAAACTGCGAGTAAGCCACAAATACTAATTTTTTGTAGAGGCTTGGCCTCATCAAAAAGAAGCCTACCTTAGGAGCATGAGAAATACATACTGCACAAGGCATTAGTACTACTGATGTTGGGTTCTGAAATCCAAGGGATATCTTACAAATAGAAATGCAGACAATTCTCATTATTCACAACAGTTATATTCTGTAAAGTCACAGCAAACAAACAGTAAATCAGCAAATACTGAATCATTGCTCCTAGAGGAATATATAGGGTTAGTTTCCTGCAAACCTCTGGTCATAGCGTTTTCTCAGTTTATCAATAGATAATCTTGTTTTATATGTGCTTCTGTTTAAAATGGTTTCACTTGTATTATTGATTAATTAACATTAAACTCAGGACCAACATCGCTCTAACTCATGTCTGAACAAAACTTATTTAATACACTTCTTTTCTCCTTAAGGCATATCTCTAAGCCTTCTTGAGCTTAGATACACTACACAGCACTTCAGCATTAAGCTTAGGGGCCATTTTAAATAGCAAAGCCACTAAGAGAAACCATAAAAATGGAAAGAAAAATGCAAACCCATCAAAACATGGCAAAGCCTGCACACACACACACACACACACACACACACACACACACGACGCTTGTTACTGTATGACAGTTAAAAAAGGCAGTGCTCTCAGCTGACAATACTCATGTTAGGTGAGTCAACCATTGTGTTGCTCTGTGAATCATCACGATAGTGAGGCAATTATCAATTTCGAAGCTTAAAAAAAACAAAAAAGTTGCCGTGGAGTCAACGTCAAACTCCAACTGATGGTTGTTGTTGTTGTTAGGTGCCATTGAGTCGGTACCGACCCATAGCGACCCTATGCACAACAGAACGAAACACTGCCCAATCCTGGACCAACCTCACTACTGTTGCCACGCTTGAGTCCATCGTTGCTGCCACTTGGCTAATCCATCTCGTTGGGGATCTTCCTCTTTTTCTCTGACCCTCCACCTTAACAAACATGATATCCTTCTCCAGCAACTGGTCCCTCCTGACAATATGTCCGAAGTATGAGAGATGAAGTTTGGCAATTTTGGCCTCCAAGTAGCACTCTGGCTACACTTCTTCCAAAATGGATCTCTTGGTTCTTTTGTCAGCCCATGGCACTTTCAGTATTCTCCTCCAACACCATAACTCAAAGGCATCAATTCTTCTATGGTCTTCCTTATTCACTATCCAGCTTTCACATGAATATGAGGTTATTGAAAATACCATGGCTTGGGTCAGGTGCACCTTAGTCCTCAAGCTGACATCTTTGCTCTTCAACACTTTAAAAAAGTCTTGTGCATGATAACCAACCCTATATGTGTCAAAGTAGAACCATGCCTTATAGGGTTTCCAATGGCCGTTTTTCAAAAGTAGACAGCCACACCTTTCTTCTGGGGCACCTCTGGGTGGACTTGAACCTCTACCTTTCAGTTAGCAACCAAATGTGTTAACTGTTGGCACTACCCAGGGACTCTGATCTGAGGCTTAGAAATACATTTCACATATATGGTATCTGCAGAAAATGAGCATTGACTGAAATACATTTTTCATAGAAAAAGTGAAAGGGAGGTAGTTTGGGGCAGCGGTGTTAAAGCTTTTTGTCTTAATGATTCCCCCTAGATGCCTAAATAGTGATATGTCAGCATGTATTCTGTGAAGTCATTCACCTCTGAAGGATATTTATGGGATGTAGCTAAGCCTTATTATAAAAAAGCAATAATTTGACAGAATGTCAAAACAGAAATAAGACAGGAACATCTAAAACAAATCTTTAAGTGCTGGAAGTGTTTTCCATGACTAAGCAAATTAAATATCCCAAAAGTGAGTAAAATACTTCATCATTAATATATGATTACATACCTGAAACTGAAAATCACACCACTTCCAATTGCCTAAGAAAACTAGCATCTCAACAATTTAGAAGTCGAACCCCACACAGGTATTGACAGTCTGGTAAAACGACGAGTGCAGCACAACAAAATGTTGAGAGCTATTGATAGATTTAAAAGCAGCTACCATGCTCTCAACAGAATTAATGACATAACCAAGTGCATTGAATTAGCATAGTCATCTATTCACAGAGAAAAAATTTCAATGCAGGTTAACAGGCTTCGGAAAAGATTCACCACTATCTTTATAAAACTTTATTTGAGCCTTATTATGCAGAAGAAAACCAGAAAAGAAATCCTGAAACAAAAACTAAATTTTTGCTTTCCTTTCCTGAAGATAAAAAAAAAAAATTGACACTGAAATCCTGAATAACACTTATAATTAATAAAGAAACACAAGAACATGCCAAGAATTCATCCTATCAGCAGATATAATGAAGTCGGCCTAGCCATATTCCACTTTTAGTCAAGTTTTCCATTTTGAAGACGCCTTTTGGCATTCTCTTGTCTGATGAGAGAGATGACTTTCATGCACCCCTTTGTAATTTTGACCATCCACAAAACATTCATCACATCTAGAACGAAACAGCTACCAATCCAGGAATACTGGATTACCAGTCCAAGCCTGGCATAGGCTTCGGTTCCATACACAGAATACATGAAGAAATAAAAAGGAGGTATCACAGCAATCCGCACAATGAAGAACACCAGTGTCATGAGTATTCCGTTGATGACGTTGGCTTTGGAGAACTTGGGGTACTTCAGAACTTCAAAAAACCAACTGGAAGAAAAAAAATTAACATTGCATTATTTTTCACCTTGGAGGATTAACCATTGCAAATTTAGTTTTTAAAATCAGTGGTTATCCCCCCTAAAATCAGAAACATGGCAAGAATGCTGTACATCTCACTAATGACAGTCAACCTTATACTGAAAGTCCTAGCTAGTGCAGGGAGACAAGAAAAATAAAAGGTATGTAGATTTAGAAGGAAGAAATAAAACCATCTATATTTGTAAATAACATATAGAAAACTCCAAAGCATCTACAAAAATAAATAATAACAATACAATGGAAATAATAGCAAGCATAGCACAATACAAGGTCAACAGACTCTTCACTGCTTTCTTATATACAAGCAGTGAACAATTGAAAGTTGAGATTTAAAAATAATACCATATACAATAGTATCAAAAAATACTCAGCTGTAAATTTAATAAAGTATGTATAGCAGCTACATGCAGAAAACTGTAAACACTGATGAAAAATAAAGAAAGTCTGAATACATGGACAGATACTTGCATTTATAGATTGGAAAAGTCAATATTGTCAAAATGTTAACTTTCCTCAACTAGATCTATAAATTCAATGAAATCCCAAACAAAATCCCAGGAAGTTTCATTCATATATATACATATAGAGAGAGAGAACTGATTCTAAAATTTATATGGAGAGGCTAAGGACCTAGAGTAGGCAACACGATACTACAGCCTTGGAAACCCTGTACAGGGTTGCAATGAGTTGGAACTAACTCCACGGCACACAGCCACCAACACCACCATCCATTTTTAAGATTTGCTATAAAACTATTTTAATCAACATAATGTGATATTGGGGAAAGAACAGACAACAAATCAGTGGCATAGAGACTCAAGAAATACACCCACACTAGACCCATACAAATATATTCAAATAATTTTTTTTTTTTTTGCTTTCTTCGTTTTTTTTAATGTTTTATTGTGAATTATGTGATAGTTTATACGGGAGAATATTAGCTTTATATTCATCCTATCGTATATCGTTTTATTGCCAGGGTTACAATCCCCTCCATGCATCATCAACCAACCAAAGGGTATACCCTATAAGCCTGCCCTCTGGTCATCAGCACACAGCCCCTCTCCCTCTCTGGATCTAGAATCCCTGGCTGCTCCATCTCTCCACGTCATCATAGTCTCTGCTTCCATCTCTGGCATCACTGTTTCTCTGGGTAGGGTCCTGCACTCTGCTCTTCACACTTGATGGTCCCAGGGACCTCTGCTCCTGGACTGCAAAGTCAATCATTCCACTCCTTTTGCTACAAAACATCTACCTTTACATTTCCAACCTTCCACAGTCAGTCCTGACAACAATTATTCACTATTGTACCACAAGAGACCTATCCCCATCTCCTTTCATCAGCCCCATCCAGACAGACTGGATAATGCTCAGTGGAAATTCTACCTTCCTCGGCATCCTCTGGATCTAAGTTCTCTCTTGAAAGCTGTAACCCAGTCACTTCTTGCATTTGTAGCAACCCCCCCGCCCCCCATTTTGGGTAGCCAATATCCAAGTTGTCCATCCCTGTCTACTCTGTGTCTGGAGGGGGTGGCAATGATCCTCGCTGTAAAGATTTGAGCTACAGCATCTACAGATGTAGGTCAAGTTCATCGAATTGTATTAGATTACTTTTTTTCCTACAAATGATTTTTCATAAAAGTAGAAAGGCAAGTCAATGGAAAAAGATGAATCTAACAGTGCCTTCAATCAAGAGTCTTAGAAAAGTTGCATGTCCATATGGAAAAAAAGAAAAAAGTGAATCAAGGCAGTTTCCTCACATTTTTCACACACACACAAAAGAAACTAACTCAAAATGGGCCAAAGACATCAATGTAAAATGTAAACCAAAAAACTTTAAGAAGAAAACATAGGATAAAATCTGCATTATCTTAGTTTTGGTGATATTTTAGATAAAACATCAAAATTAACATTTAGGGAAGAAAAACTTGATAAGTTAAAACGTGTTTTGTAAAAGACATCATTAAAAGAATGAAAAGACAACCAGAGATTGGGAGAAAAGATTCACCAAACACACAACTGATTGAGGAAATACTTGAATTAAAAAAAGTCTGAAGAACTCTCTTCATACACTTTATTTCATCATAGTGATTGCAATCCTCTCAGTCGCTTATTTACATAAAGAACTCTTTAAACTCAAAATAAGAACACAAATAATCCAATGAAAACACGGGCAAAAGATCTGAGCAAACACCTTATCAGAGATGATATGGAGGTGGGACAAAAAAAGCATATGACAAGATGCTCAGGATTCTGTGATTTTCACTCTGAGGACACTCTTTAAAGTTTGAACCACAACTATCCCATGAGGTCACCTTTTAGCGAAATAACAAATAGACACACAAAATAAAGGATATTGAGTATCCTTTAGTATAGGAATCCATGTGAAACTAATTAAAATGTCAGCAATTACTCTAAGGCACAGGAGGCTAGAATGACCCATGGGATGCTGACCGACTATGGCCGAAGACCTTAATATGAATTAATGTTTAGTTTAATACACAGCTGGGCTAACACAGAAATAATTATAGAGATGCATGTATACTTGGGCTAGTGTATTTTCAAGCTCTGTCAGTTGTGAAGGCCTAGAAAGAATGAGCATACCCAACGCACCCATCTTGGTTTTGATTGCCATTCTCCAATGAAAGGAACTAGGGCTGCTTGGAGAAATGGTTGATTCTAGGGCTGGGAAAGAGAACACACAAGATGAGCTGAGAGTATCTTGTGGTGCCTAAAAGAAGTGCTTAAACAACAAAATGATGGGGGCACTAAAATCAACTGAATGAACTCTCAATGGTCAAAGCAGTAAAATTTGAGCAATAAAATAAATTAGTAGTGTTGGTTTATAACTAAAAGCATAAAACTAATATCTATAAGTCTATACTGACATAATGACTGGGAAAAAATGATGGAAACGAGACAAAGCTTTCATGTAAAAGTATATCAAATAATTTACTGATATTGCATGCTCAAGAAGGATGAACATATGCAACTATTGGTATCTCCTCGCCCAGAGGAAAGAAGAGTGGTGAAAACGGAAACATTCAGTACAGTGGACCAATGGATGACATGAACATCAGTCTCCATGATCCTAAGACTAAAAGAATGAGATGGTGCCTAGCTACCACTACCACTAAAGGGATCACATTAGAAGGTCCTGAATAGAGTGGGAGAAAAAAATGGAACAAAACTAAAAATCATTTTTTTAAAAAAAGTCCATGCTTACTGGTCAGATAGACACTGATGGAACCTCTAAAGTACGGCCTTATCTTACAGCATCACACCAGGACTCCAGGGTGAGGGTTAAATTTTGGTTTGGGTTGAGGTTATGGCTTGGTTTTGGTTTATATTAAAGTTAGGGTTAGGGTTAGGGTTATATCTAAATTTAGATTCCGGGTTGAGATTAGAATTCAGAATACAAGTATACTTAAGGCTAGGCTTAGAACTGTGGCTAGGGCTAGGGCTTGAGCTAGTATTAGGGTTATGAATACAGTTAGACTTAGGGTTAGGTCTAGGGACCAGGTTAGCAGTCAGATTAGGGCTAGGATTAGAAGGTTAAGGTCAGAGTTAGGGTTATAGTTAAAACTGGGGTTAGGGCTAGGATTATGGCTAGGGCTAAGTATTCTTTTAGTATTAGGGGAAGAGTTAAAACTAGGGCTAAAAATTAGGACTTTGTTTAAAGTTGTTCTAGGGGCAGCTGTAGAAGTAGGAGGATTAGGACGTGGACTAGATTTAGGGTTAGGGCTAGGATTACGATGCTGTTAGGTGCCATCAAGTCAGTACCGACCCATAGCAACCTTATGCACAGCAGAATGAAACACTCCCCAATCCTGGGCCAACCTCACTACTGTTGCCACGCTTGAGTCCATCAATGCTGCCACTTGGCCAATTCATCTCGTTGGGGGTCTTCCTCTTTTTCTCTGACCCTCCACCTTACCAAACATGACATCCTTCTCCAGCAAATGGTCCCTCCTGACAATATGTCTGAAGCACGAGAGACGAAGTTTGGCCATGGCCTCCAAGAGCACTCTGGCAGTACTTCTTCCAAAACAGATATATTGGTTCTTTTGGCAGCCCATGACACTTTCAATATTCTCCTCTAACACAATAACTCAAAAGCATCAATTCTTCTACAGTCTTCCTTATTCACTGTCCAGCTTTTGCATGCATATGAGGTTACTGAAAATACCATGGCTTGGG